TAAAAATGAAATGGGAGATAGGAGTTAACATAGGCAGGATGCAGGGTTAAGAACACCATGCCCCCCTGCCCCAATGCCTCTCCCTTGCATAAGATACCGAAAAACTTGCACAGGAAATGGCTGTCAACAAAGGGAATCATATCAGATGCTGTGTGTGAGTCTGAAAGCATCTATTTCCTGCCCTCTTTTACTATTATGCCATTTTCGCTCAAATAACACAGAGTTACATTCATATTTTGCCCTTGCATCTCTGATTTCTAGCTCATTCTATGTTTATGCTACACAGTACTCTAAGTGTAGCTTCTCAGTTATTCTCTACGTTAACTCCATAAGGTTCTATCACTTACTCCATTTCCTAGACGGGGAAATTGAGGCAAGAGAGGTTAATTACTTTCCTAAGATTGACACACTAATTTAAAGTAGAGCCGTGATCCAAACCCCAGGGCCTTTCTTTTGAACCATTGTGCTTCAAGCAAACTTTACCACAGAGGAGTCATGTGCCCCTATCAGTTTTAAGCATCTTATAGCAGATAGTATAACTTTATTCAGAGGTTAAAAAACATACTGTTTCTTTCTTTTGAGAATGATTATCAAGATATGGAAATAATTGATTCCAATATTATTACTCATATTGAAATGATTTTGGGGGGACATGGTCATAGATAACATTATTTTGATTTTTGAGTTATTTCTAAAGAAAGTAACTTTTGAGTTTATCATGCATTCTCATGACAAGCATGCATTTACCTCTATTATACACTTCCTATATTGTATTAGTGGCACTTTTTTTACCTGCTAAGTATGAATGTTAAAAACATCCACATCATTACACTGTCTCCCCCATTTTCCATCTTATCTTTTCTATATAGTCATAATTTGTATTACTTACGTTGTATTTTGTAAATCCTACAGTTGTATTAGCTTTGTTCTTACAGAAAATAGATACTGGAGACTAGCTCATGATAAGAAAAACTCTTGATTGGCTGAATGTTTTCAAAAAGATTTCATGCAAAATACAGTCTTTAAGTTTTGGCCTCTTAAAACATATTCAGAACAAGTTTGACCCATTCTTTCCCTAAAGAATTTGTAGGCATCGTGCCATTACCTTCTAGAGTTCCACATTGACATGCAGTTTCAGGCCTCTCTGGTGTACCTCCTTATAGCTAACTTGACATTTTTTTTTTCTGGATAGTTAATAAATGTTTCCTTTAGCTTTGATTTCCAACGTTACTAAGATTTGTCTCAGTGTTGACTGTTCTATGTTCACTTGCTGAGACAAGTTGTAGCCTTTGGATCTGTAATTTAGTGCTTTGTTTCCTGCTAAGCTTTTTATGAGTTATTTATCAAGAATTTCCTTTTCAATCTTAAAAGTACCTCAAAGTACATTTTCACAGATGTGGTCCTCATTCTTTTAATTATTATTCATCTTTGAAACAAATTTTTGTTAGACCATGTATCTATCACTATTTCATGTTGGGGAGGAATGGGTAATTTTGTAGGATAGTGCAATGGACAGGATGCTGATGTTCCCCCTCAAATTCACTTGTTGAATTTCTAACCCCCATGGTGATGCTACCAGGAGGTAGGACTTTTGGGTGTGATTAGATCGTGATGGTGGAGCCCACATTAATGGTATTAGTACGCTTATGAAAGAGGCTGAAGAGAGACCCCCTTACTCCTTCCACTAAGTGAGGACACAGCCAAAAGGTGCCATTCTATGAACCAGGAAGTGGGCCTTCACCAGACATAAAATCTGCTGCTGTCTTGATGTTGGACTTCCCAGCCTCTAGAACTATGAGAAATAAATTTCTCTTGGTTATAAGACACTGATTCTATGACATTTTGTTATAACAACCAAAATGGACCAAGATAGAATTGAAGGTTTTTATAATATAGCAGTGTATGACTGTGTGTGTTTCTTTAGTCCAATTGTGCATAACTCTGCAAGCACGCACATTTATCACCTGGAGAGCCTTTAAAGGCCATCTATTGCTCGGATCACTCTAAGGTTTTGATTTAATTGACATGAGGAGAGTGCTTGGGAATCCGTGTGTTTTAAAAGACTCCTCAGGTCATCCTAAGTGATAACAGCCGTGAGAACCTTCCAGATCAGCAGCATGGGGGCCCATGACAAAGCAGTGTGTCCCCTCCACTTTATCTCCCCACCAACTGCTTGCAGAAATGAGGTCCTCTGCTTTGTGATGCCACACAGGGTACTGGTAAGCCTCCATCATCAGCTTTTGCTCTGATTCCCTGACTCAAATATGAGACAGTTCTGCTCCTCCAGGAATGTGCATTATCTTAGAATATTGCTGTCCTGCTGGCACTGTCTGAGATCCACAGTAGGAAGAATCCTTTCAGAAGTTTTCTCTTAGACACCCAGTCCTGTGATGTGGTTTATAGTTACAGGTTTTTCAGAGTTGTTTTTCAGAGTTCTTAAAGATGAAAATTGCATTTCTGTTTCTCAGTCTTCTTGATGTTTGGATGATTTGGGGGACACAAAGGGACAAAGACATCTTTACTCTTCAGTCTTACAAAAGGGTTTCCTTGTAATTTTTTCTACTCCATGTCTCTGGCTTTTAATATATATTAAAATTTGAATTTTTCAATATCATCAGTGTTAAATCTTACTGAGACATAAAGCTACTTATGCCACAAATTTTGTAAGTGAATTAAAATTCATGTTTTGCATTATAACTCAATTAGTAAGAAAAGGAAATGGACTCCTTTTTAATTAATCATCATTACCTACACATACAAATATATTAGCCACATTCATATGCATAATTAGGCACTTAATTATGTTTTAAGCTCAAATACATGCATGAAAAGATGATCACTTGTCTAATAAAATATTTTATTTTCCTCATTTCAGGTAAAATGTCTTTTTTTTCATAAGAACTTTTAAACATAGTAGTTTATGTATCTACAGAGATATATAATATCAGGAAGAAGCTATCAATTTCAATCTAAATTATAATGACCATTTAAAAATGTTTTGATTATAATACAAGATCAACATTTCATTATCTAACCATTAGTCATACAGTGATGATGAATTCTATCATCATTTGAGAAAAATAAGCAAACAGATGAAATTAAGCCTGTATAGAAAGGAAGGAGTTATGAGGAGTAATGAACACTGCCAACAAAAACAGACGAAATCAGGGAAAAGAACAACAAGAAAACAACTTAATTTTCTATTGTGGCTCTGCTTCCTAATACAAACATGCCTGGTTACTAATGAATTCAAAAGGACATACACTTTGTTGAGCCCGTTAGTAAATATTTATGGAGGGCTCCCTGTAAGCCAGGCATGGCCCTGCAGACTTGAAAATAAAAAGAGGCACTTCCTGTTTTCAAGGAGCTTGAATCCCTGGCAGATAAATTAACAGTACAGCTATAGTAAAATAATTGCTTTAGTAGGGGGCTACTGCCTCCAAGGCAATTTTCTTCTATACTTGGTCCTCTTGAGCCAACAACACACTACAAAGAGACTTGTTCTCTCAAAAAAAGATTGTACCCTATATTAAGCAAAGCCATTATAAATCAGAGTGAAGAAACATGAACTGACTTGAAGATAATACTGCAGTTTGAATTTGGGTACAATTGTTGCACTATAATGATAAGGGTTGTGATTTGCTTTAGCTACATGATTTTACAGGATTGGAGGATTTTTTGTGTAAGGGTAATCTTAACCCTTGGATGGTGGCCACTCTCCATAGAAGACCTGGATACACCCAGTTAGCACCTAAAAGAAAGAGCTGCAGACTTTGGTAAGTCATGCATTCTAGTCATGCCCAGCTGGTGGAACTCCACACAGCCTATCAGTCTATACATCTCGCCTCCCATACTACATCTGTGATATCTTCCTCATGCCTTAAAGTTATTGGTATAATTCATGATGCCTCTGTACTTTTGAGACAGAGGGAAGGATTTAAGATTAATCACAAAGCCGGGTAAGTTTAAGAGAGTACAGCAAATTGAAATGCTTCACATCAGTTAGCTTCTAGATTTTTGTGAAATAGGAGACAATATTACTGGTCCAAAGAGATGGAAGAATAACATCTAACTATAATGCTTGAAATCCAATATAAGGAAATATGAAAATATAAGAATGAAAACTTAAGATGGTATTTGGAAAATGGACTTTAAAAAGATACTATCAGCCCACATTCAATAGTATATTCCATCTAAAAGCTGTAACTTTATGGTTTAACACCCAGGCCTGAGACTTGAAGATAATTTAGTTTAAAAATTATTCTGATAACAATTCTGAAGGCAGAAAATACTTGTTTGGAATTCTGCATTTTTGCTGTAACAATATAAAATGTGCAACTTGCAGGGAATTATAATAAATGCAATGATATCAACTAAATGGCAGATGCTGAGTTCTTTCATTATGGATGTAATGGCACATTTTAGGACTTAATAAGGCAAGCCAAGAAGAAATGTACACATTTGAGTACACAGTTTTCATGCACAAGCATTTCCAATACATTTATTACATAGTTGATGCATATTCATTAAGTAGTTTATTACGTATCTTCTATTGAAGGAGCGCTTTTCAGCTCTAATGTGCTCATCAATATGAACAATAAAAACTAGTATTCCAGTTTTTAAGACCTACCTTGCCTATTAGGGTATAGTTACATGTGAAAGGAAACCAAATCTTGTTTATCTTTGAGCCAACAACCCCGAACTTTGGCCAACACACAAATATTTTTAAAGGCTATTATTAAGAATCAAAATAGCCAAAGATTCAAAAATTACAGAGAGATCTGTAACTCCATACAATCACTGTGGCATATATACATACACAGTGTGTATGTGATGTACTATATGGTAGAATATATTATGATTTAGTCATAGAATTAACATTTGTATTTCTTCTATGTGACGGCCAGTCAAAATATTAATATCAATTATTCAATTATTCTGTACACTTCATAAACATCATAAAATAGAAACTTAAAACGTATTTTACCAGTAAGACAGACCTATCTCGTTAAAGCCACTGTAGCCCAGCTCTTGCCTGCTAAGTCCCAGATCTTCAAGGTCCATGCATTTAAATCCAGGTGGGCACTGGTAGCCTTCTTCTAGCTCTGGTGAGCAGTGTGTGTCTGGAATAGCTAAACTATTCCAGGTTACATTCCTGTGAACAAGACATGAAGGTGTTAGACAATTTTAACAATTATAAATGTTGATTACAATGAATAATGTAATTACTCTTCATTAATATCTATGTATCTGGCCAGGTGAGGTGGCTCATGTCGGTAATCTTTGCACTTTGGGAGGCACAGGCAGGAGGATCCCTTGAGCTCAGGGGATTCAAGGCTGCAGTGAGCTATAATCATGCCACTGCACTCAAGCCTAGGTGACAGAGGAGAACTTGAGAGACCTTCTCTATCTCTCTCTCTCTTTATATATGTGTGTGTGTGTGTATCTATCTATCTATCTATCTATCTGCATTCCTGTATTAGAGCTGTCACTAGCTCATCCAACTGCTTATTAGATTTCTCCACTTGGCTACACCACAAGCACTGCTAGCTCAACAGGTCCCTGTATAAGCACTTTGTGATCTCTCCTTCCTATGAGATACCTTGAGTTCCTTCCATTTCTCCTTACTCGTCTTGTTTCTTTCTAAATTACACATCTTCCAACACTCAGAAGAACAAGAACAACACTCTGAGTCCTCAGAAAATGACTTTCATCATGTAACATTGCTTAGAAGTGGGGAAGTAAAATTTGTGCCCTCAGTGAGACAAGGATTTTGTGAATCACAATAAATCCTCAGACAAGTTAAGGTTCTTTGCAAATCTGTAGAAAAATTCCTTTCTTCACTTATCTGGGTCTTAGTCTGTAATGACAAAAACCATAATGTTGATAGTATTTTTATAAAGAGTTACTATCATATATATATATATATATATATATATATATATATATAGACTTAGCTCAAAAGAGATATATATATATATATATATATATATATATATATATATATTCTCTATATATGGAATAGAATATATTCTATTATAGAATATACATATAATATATTCTATTATAGAACATTATTATTCTATTGGACTAGAACATATTCTATTCTATATACATATATAGAATATATTCTATTCTATATTATCTCTGGAGAAACCTAATGTATAGTAGATGTTTAATAATTATTTTCTGAATAAATGAATGAATTCATGTGTCTTTCTACCATTGCTTAAGTCTATGGTGAATTATTTATTTGTAAACTACAGAAATTCTTTAATAAGTGGATCCTGTTGTTGTTTTATGTATTTTTAAGCGTAATAATCCACAAATTGGCACTGATTTTCAATGTTTTAAATTTCTGGTTTTAGTAGTTTCCATGTATCAAAATGAGTACTGGAATCCCTGGGAGCAGATAATTGTTTTTTTAAAAGCCTTCAATTATCCTCCCAGCATATGTTTGCTTGTTTGTTTTTAATTCTTAACATCCTATTTACAAATAACATTTTGTAGGAGTTTGAGATCTAAGAAAATGTGTTCTGAACTTGTTACTAAAATTGTTTATAATGGCCACAAACAATATCTCAGGATCTCAGAGTCCTGTGGTTTTAAGTTATTCATCTCTCCTGGTGGTACAGCGCACTGAGATATATATCACAACACAAGAATGATCATCTCAGTTTGGTGACCAACTAACTCAATTACCTTGGGCGATTCACTTGAAACATTTGAGCCTTAGTTTCCTCATCTGAAAAATCAGAAACTTTTCAGCTGTTTCAAAAACAAATTCCAGAAGGACCCCATAAATGCTTTGACATAAAAGAAAAGGGAGATACTTAGAATGAAAGCATATGCCCATAATTCAACATATGCTTCACTGTGCACGACTCTCCTCCTCTCACCACAAGACTCACCAATGACAAAGGCAGTAACTCAAGGCTGCATATTAAGATTCCTCTCTTCGTTATTCACAATATCGTCTTTCTCTACCGATATGGAACTAACGTCCCTGCTTCTTGCACTCCACTTAGTGTTGGCCTTCTGTGATCACTGTCGTTAATGAATATGACTATGATTATGATTACTTAGCCTTTTTTCAGAAAATTTCCCCCATATTCATAGGGGGGCACTTAATTGTATTTGAAGGTATGTTTATTAATTTATAATAATTATTTTAGACAGGCCTAATCTACGCCACACAGCATGCTTGGAACCGAGATGAATAAAAGGAATAAAGTTGACTCAGGGACTTGCCTGTGAGAGAGAATAAAAAAGTAATGACCACAGGATCGTGTGATGGATGCTTTAAGAGCTATCTATATGCTCACGGTGTTAACTGGAGGGCAAAGCAGAAACATCAACTATGACTATGAGTGGCAGATGGTGGGTACTCGGAGAACCTTGCAGTCGGGTGTTGCTTCGAGTGACTATGATTAACGGATCAACAGGTAAAGGTTCTAGGGTTGGAATAAACAGCCTGGCATTCTGGAAAGTGAAAATGTCAAGAGCCTGCATTTGCATATAAGAGAGAATGAGAGAAAGGAAGAGAGAGAGACCATTCACCTTTTTACCAGAGAGTGTAGCTGTTTAGTGAGACATAAGGATTGTTATCAAGCAGTTGTTATCATATAAAAGCAATGTTTAAAGTACAGTCTCAGAGGTGTACGGACTGGGGTAAAAGACAAGGATCTGTGCTATCCTAAATGGCCACTGTGACTGACGCAGCATGAGCTCATTATAACCTGTTCCTAGTATATGAGATATGATAAATAGGTCAAAAGATATGAAATAAATTATTACTAAATTTACTTGCTAGATTTTCACAACATATACCTATGATAGGAATTTATAGATAGCAATTTTGTTTACATTGTTATTATCTTTTTTTGTTAAAAAACTGAAGACAAGCAGGCCGAGGATGTCTTCTTGATAGCCAAATTTGACCATTTGTTGTCAAAGACATTTGCAGAGCTGCAATGTATTTCTGAAGTTGGCATTCCATAAGAAATTGTCAATGATGTAAATAAGTACGTAGCCTGACAAATCCACATGCAACAGATAATGCTATACAACTTAAGAGCATTTTGTTTTGCATTGCATCTGTAAGCCTTCATTTTTATTTATATTGTATGTTCCAGAAATAAATAACAAATAGAGGAACAGAATTCTAAATAAACCCATGGAGAAAATTACACCCCTACACAATCATACGTAGACACAGACACACTCTTTTGCCCTTAAGAGAATAATGAATGTAGACTTTACTTCCTTCTGTGGTTCTTGTCTTGTCTTTAGTGGCAGACATAAAAATAAGATTTATTATCTTGCTAAAAGCTGACCCCTGGATCGAGAGGTTTTCCTGTCATTCCATGTACTTACAGAAAACTTAAACTGGCTGTTACCCACCTTTCAGTTTCATTTTGGACAATCATCTGATTTCATTTTCACTCCTATTTAGCTTCCTCTTGTCAGGATTCATTATAAACTCCTATGACTTGGTCTGGCTAATTCTAATGCTGGATGCTTTGGGAAACTAATCCCACCCTAGAAAGCAAGAGTCTTATTTGCAGAGATAAATTATTTATTGATTTTGGAAAACATTTAATGGCTCGGTCTGGACTTTTAGTGGAACTGCAAAACAAGATAACTATTTGGAAGCAGGAAATAATATTGACATCACACATCTTTTAGTAAATAAGCTAATCTGGCCCATTTTTCTAGAAAATAAGTTCTCTTTTTTGTAAAATTGAGTATTTTAATCTGATTTTCCCCCTTCTTTCACCCATTCCTGAAAGGCTTGGTTGGCAAAGTTGTAAAGAATTGTAGCCATCAGGAATAAAAATGGAAAAATTAAGTATTTTTTTCAAATATTGTGAGTATGAAATTTTAGTGACAATGCAGTACATGATTTTATTTAAAAGGACGATTTAAAATAGTTATTTTATTATATCTGAATAGATTTTGAAAATAATATGTTTTCCCCAAGTTGACTCCCTCAACTACTTTGTCAGTACGGATAAAGCATGGTGCACCTGACAGGAGCTTGGAAGCTGCAGTCAGGTTAGGATAAGGCAATGAGAGGACACAAACATATTCAAAATATTATCAGAAAAGTTGGCCAGGCACAGTGGCTCATACCTGTAATTCCAGCACTTTGGGAGGCTGAGACAGGTGGGTCAGCTGAGGTCAGGAATTCAAGAGCAGCCTGGCCAATATGGCAAAACTCATCTCTATTAAAAATACAAAAATTAGGCAGGTGTGATAGTGCATGCCTATAATCTCAACCACTGGGGAGGCTGAGGCAGGAGAACTGCTTGAACCCAGGGGGTGGAGGTTGCAGTGAGCTGAGATCATGCTGCTACACTCCAGCCTGGGCAACAGACTAAGACTTCACCTCAAAAAAAAAAAAAAAAGAAAGAAAGAAAAAAGAAAAACAGATAAGTGAGGTTACAGAGGATGCACTGATCAGCTCCAAACTGGAAATGTGAAACCGTTTGAGGTTATAAGGCAATCTACCATCTTTGACTTTTAAAATCTGGACCAAGAGCTCCTCAAGCATTAACTCTTCTCCTTTTTCTTTAGGAAATGGAAGATCCGAGGTGAGAAGCTGTATGTAGAGAGCCGGCTGAATTAATGGAATGGAGCCACCAGGATTTGGGGCCAAGCATAACAGGACTTCAGTTGGTAATTCAGCCAATTAACTTGTGGCAAGGAGTAATTTCCTCATCTTTCTTATGAAGATCAAATTTATAGAGACTGCATTATAAATTAGCAACTGTGAATATAAATCCCCTCTTACATACTTGGAGCTCAAAATATATTTATATTAATTGAATGTTGTTTGACTGAGTTGTATGGCTGGAGAGAGGCAATTTTTTCCCACTCCAATAAGCCTCTATCCTTTCAAAGCAGCCAAACATACTAATGGCTCCCTGATATAGTTTGGATATTCGTCCTCACTCAAATCTCATTGAAGTATACTCCTCAGTGCTGAAGGTGGGGCCTGGTGGGAAGCGACTGGATCATAAGGGCAGATCCCTCATGAATGGCTTGGGCTCTCTCCTAGGTGACCAGTGAGCTCCTGCCCTGAGTTCACAGGGGATCTGGTCATTTAAAAGTGTAGGGTACCTCCCCCTCCATGCTCTCTCTCTCTCTCTC